TAACACTGTGTTGCAAACAAATGTCACAAGGCAGAAATAGTACATCCATTCTTAATAGACCATAACACAATAAAAATAGTCATCATTTGAGGGATCACAAACAAAAGACACAGATCCACATGGAGATTAATAAAGAAATCCTAAATAATGAGTGGGCCAAAGAACAAATTCTAGAAGTTATTGATAATTTTGTGAAAATTATAATGATGAAACAATGTACTAAAATTTCTGGGATGCGACTAATGCAGTCCTCAGAGGAAAAATCGTATCACTATAAACATACATTTAAAAAATGGAAAAAAAAATTAATGAACTAATTATACATTTAAGAAATCATAAAGCCAACAAATAAATAAACCTAAAATAAGCAAGAAGAGGAGATATTAAAAATTAGGGGAGAAATAGTTAAATTTGTAACTAAAAAAAGCCAAAGAAATCATTAATAAAACTAAAAGCTTGTTCTTTAAAAAGATTAATAAAATTGATATACCTTGAACTAATCTGATGAAAAAGAAGCAGTCAGAAAATTAAATCAATAAAAGAGCAAATGAGCAAGATGAAATCACAACAATAGAAGAAACAAAAAATAATCACAATCTATTACACACGGTTATAGGCTGACAAAACTGAGAAAACAAGAAATAGAGGAATACCTTTAAAAAATATAAAATATCCACACTGAAAGAAAATGAAATAGAGATCTTAGATAACCCAGTCTCAGATAAAGAATTAGAATTCGATGTAAAGAAACTTTTTGTTATTGTTTGTCTGTCGTTCATTTGTTTCAGTCACGTCCAACTCTCTCCATTGGGTTTTTTTTTTTTAGTAAAGAGAATGGAGTGGTTTTCTATTTCCTTCTTCAATTTATTTTACAGATGAGGAAACAAGGCTAACAGGGTTAAGTGACTTCCTCAGATCACAGAGCCAGTAGGTGTCTGAGACTAGATTTGAACTTTGGTCTTCCTGACTCCAGGCTCAGAACTCTATCCATTGTGGCACTACCGAAGAGGAAAAAAAACTCCTGGTCCTAATGAACTCACAAAATTCTATCTTTTTTTTTTTAGGTAATTGGGCTTAAGTGACTTGCCCAGGGTCACACAGCTAGTGAGTGTTATGTGTGTGAGGTGGGATTTGAACTCAGGTCCTCCTGACTTCAGAGCCCGTGCTCTATTCACTGCATCAGCTAGCTGCCCCCTTCTATCAGATTTTTGAAGAGCAATTAGTATTCATACTTCAAAAATTATTCTCAAAAATTAAGAAAGCACCCTACCAGAATATTTCCTCATCAAGTCTACCCTCCCTTTTAAGCCTCCCCTCCTGTCTCCTTGTTCTTACCTATTTCCCAAGTGAATTAAATGCATTTATACATCAAACTGTGTGTGTGTTCAGTTTTCCTTTATTATTGAATATTTTGCATTCATGGCCTCCACTCTCTTGACCAAGCCTTCTCAGAAGGGGAGTTTCTAGTCACTGTCTCATCCTCTCAGTGTATCCCATATTTTTTACTTTATCTAATAGATTAGTTAATTAACAAAGTACTGAGTGGTCTTCTGAGTCTTGACATTACCATGAATTACCTTGCAATATTCCAATTTTGACCTTTCCTTTCATTATCCTTATAATGTCCTTGTTTTTATTCTCTGGGTCCTCTCATAAAATCAGGAAATCATTATGCATTTCTAGTCCAAAAACATCATAATGTTTATTAAATATTTCACATTACATTTTTTAAAGGAGTGGTGAAATAAAAATTGTGTTTAGCAAACCAATAATGCTAAAAATAATCATTAAACATTCAGCATATAAAATAAGAAATGATGAAGTAATAGTTACATGCAATTAATATGTATCAAAAATAGTAAAATGAGCACATTAATTAGCAACAACACTGTCGGGCATTTTGCATTTGATTATAATGGGTTTATAATAAATGAGAAAATGATTATGGGAAAGAAAAAAAATTCAAAGTTCTTAAAAGAGCCTCCATATGTAACCTGGGTTATCAGCAACTGTGCTAAGTGCTAGGGATACAAAGAAAGGCTAAAGAGGGTCCCTTTCAAGCCCATCGTCTAATGGGGAGGACAGCATGCAAACAACTATATACAACAAACTGTGTACTGGATAAGTTGGAAATGATCAACAGAGAGAAGGCATGAGAATTAAAGAGCATCAGGAAAGGCTTCTTATAGAAAGTAGGATTTTAGCTGGGACTTGAAGGAAGTCTGGGAAGCCAGGAGTTAGAAATGAGGACCAGGAGCATTCCAGGCGTGGGACTGTTGTTGTTCATATATTTCAGTCATGTCCAACTCTTCATGACCCCATTTGAGGTTTTCTTGGCAAAGATCTTGGAGTGGCTTGCCATTTCCTTCTCCAGCTCATTTTACAAATGAGGAAACTGAGGCAAACAAGGTTAAGTGACTTGCCCAGGGTCAGATAGCTAGTGTTTGAGGCCAGTTTGAACTCAAGAACGTGAGTTCTGACTCTAAGCTCAGCCCTCTGTCCAGTGTGCTATCCAGCTGCCCTTGCCATGGGAAATAGCCAGTGAAAATTCCCAGAGTAAGGAGATAGAGTATCTTGTTTAGGAATAGCAAGTAAACCAGTGTTACTGGATCTTAGAATGCCTGAATGAGAACAGGGAGAGTGAAAGAAGACCAAAAAGTTTGAGGAGGAGGGTAGCAGATTATGAAGAGCTTTGAATGTCAAGTAGAAAATTTTATATTTGCTCCTGAAGGTGATAACCACTAGAGTTTATGGAGTAGGAGGTAGGAGGGTGACATGGTTGGATCTGTGCTGCATTGTTTATACTTCATATATAAATAATGTTTTGCATGTTGTCTCCTTTAGAATGTGAGCTACTTGAGGACAGGGAACATATTTTTACCTTCTTTGTATTTTTAGTGCTTAGCATAGTGCCTGGCAAAGAATGACTGCTTAATAAATGCTTATTGATTAAGTGATTGAGAAAGATTATGACCAAAATCACCTTTTACTATAACTACAACCACTGACTTCCTCAATTCTGCAAACACAGTCCCGTTTATTTTCCTCAGGGTACCAATACAATTCTTTTCTCAAGAATTCTCATCATGTTTCTTGACAACATGAGGGTTGAATTAGATTCTTTCAGGAAGTTCTCTTAGTTCTTACGTATAACTATTTGGCTTACATATAACATATCTTGAGGTGTTGATATTTCCCATTTTTGCTTTCCTTCATGTTCTAATCATTCAAGGTAGTTTTCTTTAATGATTTCTTGAAATACAATATCCCAATTTCTTTGAGGTTTGTTGTTTTGTTTTGTTTTGTTTTGCTATGGTTTTCTGGGAGCCCAGTGAGTCTAAAATTATCTTTTTTCATCCTGTCTTCTAAGTCATTTGTTTTTGATAGTAGATACTTAATATATGCTGACTTTTCCAGCTTTTTTTTACTTTGATTTTATATTTTTGTTCCACTGAATCATTAAATTCCATTTGTTCTATTCCATATTTTGGAGTATCCACTATTTAGGTAATGTTTTCTGCCTTTTGTTTTGAGTTATTTATTTTCTTTCCAACTACACTAATTTGATTCTTTATCTCATTTCAGTTCTTTCTTTGTTTCTTTATTCCCATTCTTATAGTCTTTACCAATGCATTCTTTTTTCTGGTGCTCTATATGTCCTTATTACAGAGTTACTTTCCTTTTCTGGGTTTTCCTCAAGTTTTCAATCTATATTATTTCTTAATGGTAATGAAAGCATCCTTATATTTACACAGGTTTCTGGCTTCAGTTCTTGGATTGGGTCTAGGTGGGTACTAGGTACTAGGTACAGACTCTGTCCCTTCTTTTATACTTCAGTATGATGGCTAGGTCCAATTTCTGGCCCTGCTGTAGTCTGGATGACACTGCCACTGCTGCCATCCTGCTGCAGTTCTGGATAGCGTAACTGTATCCTATTATCCCTCCTTGATTTCTTACATAACCCTTGCCTGATACAAGGAGCTGGACCTAAGGATGAGACCAGGCCCCACGCTCTGCCTCAGTCCTATCTCCAAGGATTTGGATCTTATCTCCTGGTGCATTTCAAATAAACATAGACAAGACTAATAAACATAGGACACACTAACCTCAGCCTCTCTATCACCTTGCGTATGTACTGGGACTTGGCTTTGTCTCCTGGTTTGGCTTTGTCAGGGCCTGAGTTGAGATGTCACTAGCCTCATATTTCATCTTTCCAGAGATTGTACTGACTTCAGGTCCTGTCTCCTATGCCCTGACCTTGCCCCATGTCCACCCTATCTTCTTGTGTTGTCACCTATCTGATAGATCCCCAGCTTTGACTTTGTCCTGTGGTTTGGCCCCAACTAACCAGACACTTCTGGTTTTAGGCCCTGGTTTACAGGAAATAATGTTGGCTTCAGACTACCTAGAGGGCCCCTGAATAGATAAACCTCCAGCTTATGGTCATCTTCTAGTAAAATCCTGGACAAGCTGGAAGTGCATCTCTTCAGTTTTATTCAATATTTGTTTCACGTGATGGTTTTTTGGTTCTTTTTTTTTTTTGATATGGTGTTTCTCAGGAGAAGAAGGCTTTAGTTGGATACTTTCTCATTGCTATCTTTGATTGAAATCTAGAATTTCCCTATTAGTGCATTTGCACAGAAAATATTCTTAAAAGGCTTTTTTAATGAAGAATGATTACTATATCTCACAGGTGGCTTTTAAGGGATTGATTTCTTTTTGTTTTGTTTTCATATATCCATTATTAAAGTTGAAAGCACCTCGGTCTCTCCCAACCTTTGAGAACTGTACCCACATTACTAGACTGAGGAAGTTATATCAGTTTGAGGATAGGGCCCTTTCCCCATTTCATTCTCATTCCTTCCTCTATTCTCTTAGTAACTTACAGGAAAAAAAATATTCTGGATATGGTGAAGAAATTGTACTTCTTTTATACCCTCTTTTAGCCTTTTATGTATATTAAATCACTCTGTCTCTCTTTTTCTCTGTCTCTCTCTTAGCAACGGTTGTTTTAAGCAACTTGGAACCAAATACAACCTATGAAATCAAAGTTGCAGCTGTAAATGGAAAAGGTCAAGGGGACTACAGTAAAATTGAAATCTTTCAAACATTGCCAGTCCGTAAGTAATCATATTTTTAACTAATACAGGATTTAAAAATATTATAATTTGCTTGTTGTTCTCTTTGCATACAAATTCATAAATTAACTTGAAGTAAATTTGGATTAATATAAAATCTATTCAGAATACTGGAAGCCTCTTTGTGCTACACTAATGCAAAGAAATGCATTTAAACACAAATTTCCCGAGGGAAATTTTCCCAGTGAAGGAGGTTTATTATTTATTTACATTTTAATTAATTAGGTCATAGTTTTTCTATTTTTTGTCTACTATTACATTCAATATTCTATTACTTTAATTTAGGGTAGCAATTGCTTTTATTCCATAAACTGTAAGTTATAAGAGAAAATGTAGCCATTAAATTAATCCATATGTTTAACAATGATGATATGAAAATAATAACTGATACAGACTCATTCACATAACAGCTTTCCCCCTTGGGCTCTTGTAAAGACAATAAAATTTTCCTGGGATTAAAATCATTCTTTTCTGTTAGAAAGTAGGCAAAAGGAAAACCAAGGACTAAAAGAATGATATAAAAGTTATCTATAATCTTACCTTCATACACAACATTTCTAGGATTATAGAATTGGCTAGAAGGAATTAATAATTGTTTTAAAAAGAAATTCAGAACTATGTAGCCATATTTCTCATTATAGCAAATTTCTCCACTCATTCAGGCTGATTTCCATACACTCACTAGAAATAAATTTATTTTCACCTTACTGGGCCAGGAGTCAAAAAGACCTGAGTTCAAATTCAGATTCAGATGCTTACCAAATCTGTAACCCTGGGCAAGCCACTTAACTTCTGCCTCCCTCAGTTTCCTCAACTGTAAAATGGGGACATTAATAGCACTTATGTCACAGGGTTGTTGTGAGGACCAAATGAGTTAATATTTGAAAAGCTCTTATCATAGTACATAGCTCATAGTGGGTGTTTAATAAATGTTTTTTCCAACAGCCTTGGATCTTTATTTTTTTACAAATATTGTGATAACTATTTCAATGTAATTCATTTCCTTTGTAATCTTATGTACTGTATTTTATGCATTTAAAGATATTATTCTAAATAAGGTCCATAGCCTTCACCAAAGGTCTGGTGATGATGACCAAAAAAGGTCAAAACCCCTTGCTTTAAGACTTTGGTGATCTTCCCCCCTTAGTTCTAACTATCCCAAGTCTAACTATTTTCTCAAAGCCATCTGAAGACATACATTTTACATAAATTCTTCCCCCAGCCCATGATGACTCAATTCTCTGAACACAAGCATTCATCAAAATGACTACAATTTAACACTTGCCTTACATTATCTATTTTTTTTCCTTTTCTGTGTTCTTACTCTGTGTTCCTTTTATGGCAGATTTTATATGAGCCTGGTTGTTTGTTTTCTTTTAAAAATAGACAACCTGTAGATGCAAATGAATATTCAAAACAGTCACTTCAGAAAGCTACTTTTTTTCTCCCAAAGATTAGTTTAGGTCATTTTCAAATTTTCTTTTTTTGGAACTGTCTTCTTCAGTGCACATTGTTTTGAATATACTTAAAATGGCAAATCTTCATTGCTGGAGAAAGTTTCATTTTTGGAAAAACATAAAAGTCATCTAGAACTTACCAAGGCAGCTAGGTGGCATGATCGATAGAGAATCTGCAAGAACAGAGTTCAACTCCATTCTCAGACACTTGTTACAGGTAACCCTGAGCAAGTTACTTAATGTCTATCTTCCTCAGTTTCCTGATCTGTAATAATGAGCTAAGTTTTGTAAATCATTTTGTAAACCTTAAAAAGCTGTATAAATCCTACCTACTACTGTTACTACTCATAGAAGCAATTAATCATGAAAAAATGCTTCAGATAAATTCTTCAGTATAGTATCAAAAGCTTTATGGCTGTAAAATAATGGAGGACAGGTTTGGTTTTTTTTTAATTTGGTTTGTGAATCGACTCTTTCAAATATCTTGCTTTTTAAAGGCTGCCAGGGTAATGCCTGATTCTTTGACCAGTCAGTGGCTAAGTACCTTATAATTCCATTAAGTTTAATTGAAGAACTTTTTCACTCCCCCTAAAAGAGTAACAAAATATAAACCTTTACATTTTTTAACATGTTAACACTTTGTTGTCTCTGTCACCTGCCTTTCATATTTTATAATTTCATCAAGTGAGCTCAAGGAAGATCTATCAGACGTTCTGCTGATCAACTCTCCCACTCTAAATACTGAAGGACAGAAATCAATTATGTTCATTGGCATAGTCTAGTTCTGTCTAGAAATACAGAAATAAGGCCTTCAAATATGGAGTAAGACAGAATTCTGCCTGTCAGGAAAAATAATAATAAATTCATTCATTTCTATTTATTGTTAGACTCTGTTCCAACAGCAAGCTACTTTCTTCTCTTACCATCAAGTTTCCACTGATTGTATTACCCACTCATTCTAAAATGTTTACCTTGGTCCTGGCATATCACCAAACTGGAATCAGATTAGGGTCATGCATTAAAGTGAATATATGCTAGGTGTATGTGCTTTAAAACTAACTGTTAACACAATCTTTGTATCAAAAATGCCCATGGCACAAAGTCCCTCAAGTTACTCTCTTCACAAGATAACTGGAGAAAATCTCTTAACTACACAACGTAGTATCATGGCACCAATTCCACACTTACAAGTATGTTAGCCATGATAATACAGGGCAGAGCTTTAAGTTCTAAAAGCTTTGGAATAGCATATATATCAAAAGGATTTTAATTCATAGAGAAAGAATTAAAAAACATTATGTATTCTTTACATTCATTATAGTATTTCCAAAGTTGCACACTAAATATTCTGCAGTGTCACTAGGTTTCCTCAAGTGTTGCTGCCTGGTTTGATAAATCACTGCTTTCTTCAGTCTTCAATGACCTCAGCTACAGCTCTGCTGCCTCTGATAGTGTTTTTAGTCTTCCTCTCGTATATACTTTGATAGCCACTGGAAGATCCATTACCTTCTACAGTTACTACAGGGTGAGGCTTACGAGTTATTTTTCCTATGCTACCTAGAGCTATAACTCTATCCCATTCAGAATTTATGGCTCTGAATAACAGTCCAAGGTTTCACTCTTAATTAAATGACAATATAATTCTTGTGTTCAAGATACTCATGGCACAAAAGGCACTGTTTTAATTTAGTTGGTTTAAGTCTCTGAGGGATGATCAGGAGGAGGGTCTAAGATTCACCTTTCCAAAATTATATACGTCTATCCTTGAAGCTTTTCCCTTGAAACTCTTATCTCCACTGATCCAGTCACATGAAAGTCCTTATCACAAACTTCAAACTCAGCCTGGTTGGAAAAAAGATTGGCTTTAGAATACAAATACCTGATGATGAATTCTGGCTCTACTTTTAATTCCTTTGTAATTTAAGGAAAGTCACTTAGCTTCTCTCATCCACAGCTTCCTTATCTGTAAAATGAAGAATTGGACTAAATGATCTCTCACAACAGCTATAAATTCTATCAGCCCTAATATTCTTTCCACTTCTGACACCAAACATAGATACTTTCCACTCAAAGGAGTATCCTTCCAGAAGCTAAAAAACAGCACCAGTATATTCCAATTTACTGTCCTTAAATTCGTGGGTGGTATTATTCCAATCACCACTTAGATTACTTAAGTAGCCCAAAGCTATGAGGTACGGATGTCAGTTACCAGTCCCATGCCAAGTGGAATAAATGTCTTAAACAATTCTTAAATCATTGCATGCCTTCAGAATGCTACCATTTTCCTTAACCAATTTAGGGGAATAGGGAAGAAATGAATATTCCAGTTGAGGCAACATAAATATCATAATCTAGTGAGTGCTCTTTAAAGTAGTAAGTATTCTCTATCCCTTTTTTTCCCCTCTTCTATGGCTTTCTGTCTTCTCTTCCCTCTTTGTGCTTCCTCTTCCCATTTATATTTCCCCCTTTTCTCTCTCTCTGTCTTTAGGGGAATTACTTCCCCTAATTTTGCCACACACATTCCGCACAATCAGATGGCCACAGGTGGCATATTAGACTTCTATTATTGCAGATTGGAGGAGACTGTAGAGATGTATTGATATTAGTAATTCTTTTAAAAGTAATACTTGCCTAAGTGCACCTAAGGCTTAATAAGAATTGATGTTCTATACATCCACAGATAACTCACCATTATAATCATGTAGCAAATAATGTTTAAGCTGTAGCTTAACTTAGAGATTTAGTTTCCATGAATCTTTTAAAAGTTTTTTATTGTCCATTGTTTTTATTGTCTAAACCTCTATTCCTTACCATTTGTATGTGTAATCACAGATATTTAGAGCCCACAAATAATATGTATACTCTTGTATCACAAGTTAACATCTGTATCTAATTACATCTAAAAATTGAGTTGAAATTATCACTTGATATTACCTTCATTTGGTTTTAATAGATTTATCTGATGAAACCTTTATTGGTTCTACAATTCTTTTTCTATTCTTGGTCAATATTCATAAATACTGTTGATATCTCAAATATAGTGGATCATTAGCTATGAGTAAGTTAAATATATAGGTGACAAACTAGGCTTTGAAAATGAATTGTAGTCACTATCTCAAAGAAATCCTACTGTGTGAATTGAGCAAGACCCTGGGTGCATGGTAAGGAGCATGTTAATTAATGAGTAATTAATTGATGAAAAAGCATGTATTGAGTGCCAAGCACTGTGATAAATTCTTGGAATACAAATACAAAAAACAAAGACAGTCCTTGCCTTCAAGAAGTTTACATTCTAACAAGGAGATAACACACAAAGGGAAATGATATCCAGGCAGGGGCACTTGGTGCCAGAAAGTTAGAGAGATGGTGAGAAGGGAAACAGAGAAGCCCTAGGAGAATAATTTGGCACACCCCATCCAGGGACAATGACAGCAAAAATTTGATCATTGTTCCAAGACTCAAGAACTGGGGAAATGGGAAGTGGGAGTGGTTGATGTTTGAACATAGGCAGGGACAAGATGGCTAGCAAGATTATAGAGGAGATGGCCAGAGAGTTGGGAGTGAAGTAAGTATGAGGATTTTGCTGAAATAGTAGTTCTGGAAATTCAGTTACCAATCAGAAGAGTAGGGACAACAAGGTAGAAGTTTCTCCAAAAGGCAGTGGACCTGGCTATTAAAAAAAAAAAATGTCGGGAGATTCAGGAATGAAGTGAAACATGTCTGGAGCTTTTCCTAAAAGTGTTTCAAGAGTCACCAATAAATAAGACCATAGATTGAAAACGAATAGGAATTTTAGAGGCCATCAAGTCCATTCCCTTCATTTTATAGATGAGGAGCTGATTCACAAAGAAGCTAAGTGACTTACCCAGGATTAAACAGCACGTAAATGTCTGAAGTGAGATTTGAACTCATGTCTTCCTGACTCTGGGCCCAGTACCCTTTCTATCTACCATGTTGAGCTGCCTACAATCAGAGTGATAAACAAGGTGACTCTCACCTCTCATCCTGTAAGACCCTAATATCCTTTCTCTTATGTTGTCCTCATGCTGATTCCTTTCAACACATCAGGACAAGTCAGTCAGCTGAATTCCATGGACAAGTTCTTCCTTGTAGCTAGCACAATTCCAGGGCTAATACTGTTACTCACCAAGCTCCTCTGTCTTATGCTTTCAATCACTGTGCCTGCCTGGTGGAGGGGCAGGGGGAGGGGGGAGTGGGAAGGGAGAAAGGAATGTTTTCTATTAGGCAGGTAGCTTCACTGCCCCCATTATGGCAGGGGAGGGGGAGTGGAAAAAGGGAAATTCTTCCTCCTCTTCTTCATCCTCCTCCTTCTCCAAATCAAGAAACTATTCTTTCTCAAGGATTGAGTTCTTCCTCCATGGATGGCTTTCTTCTCTAATGCAAGAGGTCACACTTCTCAGAACTGTCTCCTTTCTCAAGTGACCACCCAGAAAGTGTGTCTTGCTTTTTAAAGTGCTACGAGTGGTGTGGTTGATCTTTAGCCAGCCAATGGCTAGCTGCCCATCAAGCATGACTAATGAATTTCTTCATATGTCTAAAGACCTAACAAAATGTAAACATTTCCTTTCAATTCATTTAAAACCTTAACACCTTGTCTCTATAACCTGTCCATTACATTCTGTAATTTCATCAAGTGGGCTGGAGGGAAATACCCTCTTACAGTTTGGCCATTTAAACATTTGTTTAGTACATTTGTCCATAGTTCCAATTCTGGATAGCTCTCCAATGAGTTGGGGAGTATCAGGTATAATCCTTTCAGGTGCCTTCCCCCCAAAACCTTGCATTAAAGAGTCTCAGCAAAGTTCACGTGACACAGTTCTTGGACTTCATTTCCTACCCAGCTGCTTTCCTGGGCTTAATGATTTGCCTAAACTCATCATACTGCAAAATGAAATTAGCTCTGAAATTCACTCTTCATCAGCACCAACCCCTCCCCAGCAGACTTTGGGCCCCTTCTATCTCTGATTAGAGAGAGTGGAGGGTAGACATTGGAGACTTCTTCCCTGATCCTACACTATATAAGGAGGTCTCTCTGGGCATTCACCTCACTGTTTCCTACCCAGCTGCTTCATGACCTCCAGAAACTCATCATTTTGCAAGATGAAACTTACCTCTTCAGATCCTTACCCTCCTTGGCTGCAGGACTTCAACACGCCCTATGCCAGATACTGTCCCCACCCCTTCTTTTTATGTGTTGTCTTGCCCCATTAAATAGTGAGTTTCTTGAGGGCAGGTGATATCTTATGCCTCCCTTTGTATACCCAGCACTTAGCACAGCACCTGGCACATATTAGACACTTAATAAATGTTTCCTGATTCTGACACTGACTCTTGGACAATCTGAAAATTAACAGTTTTATATAAGGGCCTAAGATTATACTCACTAGGAGATGGTAATACAAAAAGGTTTGCCCAAAGACAATTTTTAAAAAGAAGTGGGAAAGGGAAATTGAACCCTGGTACAAGCAGACCTCTCAAAAGAGAGAGAGGTCTTGGAGTTGACTGGAAGCCTTCCCCTCATCATCAGGTGAGAAACCAAACTGTCTCAAATGAAAATGACTTTGGATCCCTGAAAAAACATGGGGCACCTGAAAGTTCCCCAACTGTTCTCTTCAAAATTAGGATATCACAGAGAGAGAAGAGATTCCATTTGGACAGTCCCCTCTAGTGGGAATCTAGTGGGAGTAGAGTCCTAAATATAACCTGGACTATTCCCATAATGTAGCACTCCCCTAAATTACAATCCCAAGTTGTGTCCCCAAAAGAATTACTACTCCTAGGTTCAAAGTAGGCTCAGTAGGCTCACAAGGCCCCACTGGTGCATTTACCTTGAATAGTCAGCCAGACACAATTAGCTCAAAGCAAAGTCATTTCCTGAGATAGCATCTTAAGGATAATAGCTAGAAAACATTCCCCTGCAAACCTACATAACACATTCCCACAAATATATATAGTATCAGTGGGAAGAGTGGGCACCCGTACACATATGGTAGAGAAGCACACACTTAGGGAATACATTTGGCCAAGATGACTCACATTTCTGGCACTGCAATTCCTCAAAGTCATTTCCCTATTCACAATGTCCTCATGTTGCTGTGAACCCCTTCTACTTCCCCCCCAACACCACATTGCAAAGGGTCCTTGGACCTACTCCTTCCTAGCATAGTGTCTAGTCAAAGGTGGTGGGGAGGTGGGGAATCCCCTCCTTCCCAAGAGGTGAGAATTGATTCCCTCTTGAGAACTAGATTTTTCTTCCATAATTGAGTCTCTTCTGAACTTCCAAAGTTCATACTCCTCAGAGCTGTCTGTTTTATGCTTTAAATGACACCACAGAGAATGCTTTGACTGTAAAAGAGTATGGCCAATCAGAAGAAGGATTTCACATTTAGGAAATAGGTGATAAAGTATAGATCAGGGGTTGGAAACCTGTGACCTAGGCCACATGTGGCCTTCTAAGTCCTTGGGTGTGGCCTTTTGACTGAGTCCAAGTTTTACAGAACAGATTCTTTTATTAAGGGGATATGTTCTGTGAACTTTAGATTTAGTCAAAGGGCAGCACTTGAGGACCTAGAGGGCCACATGTAGCCTTGAGGCCCAGGTTCCTCATACCTGGTATAGATGCTACTTTGCACTTCATTTAAGGCTTCAATAACTTGTTATTTCTGTTACTTGCCCATTACTTTCTGTAATTTCATCAGAAGGACTTGGAGGAAAATCCATTGATCTGGGCGCTCATGATCAACTCTTTCTTAGTACATAGAATTTAATTGGTAAGGCTTCATTGTATAGTAGAAGGAATACAGAATTAGTTTTAGTAAACCTGGGTTCCAGGCCTGATTTTTACTGAGTTACTCTAGGACTATAACTTAGCCTCCCCAGAGGCTGTTTCTGTCTATAATTGGATTAAATTAATTCATTCAGTAAGTATGTGAGATGTGAGATAATCTCCAAGCTCTCTAACATTCTAACAAGCTCTCTTTTTACATTCTAAGATTCTATTTTCATAGTTCAACCAGCTTCCCTTTTCTCTCTCTTCTTTTTAAAACCAAATTGTTCTAACACTTTTAAAAATTCAGCCAGTATCAGAAAGAAATTCAAAATGTGTTAATAAGATTTAATGTCTCCTATTTCCTTCATCCTAGTGGACATGCAATCCATATCACATTGCTTCATTATGTATATCTCTTTGTGCATTATTCTGAACAGGCCAGGAGCTTCTACCCACAACGTGTAATATTTTAAGTCTTTATAATACTCTGCCTTTATAGAAGATTGGAGGAATCAGACAAAGCCAGAAGGGTGGTACAACATGTCTAAGAATATCAAACTGAGAGATACAGCAGCCACCTACCTAGGTTTTCAAACATTCTGGGTGCCCTGTGAATGCAAAATTCTCAATGATCTATTTTGCTTGAAACAGCTTTATAAATGTCATTTTTATAATACAATTTCCATGTGATAAATAACATCAAAGGCTAATGCTTAAATTGGAAAAATGTTGAAATACTGTTATAGAATAAGATACTACAAAGTATCCTCTTCAAGCTTACTTTGTCAAAAATCTTGTGAATAGACTACTGATTACTAGATAATTATCTTTTATAAAATGTAATTGTAGTGGTTGTAAAACTGGTATAGTGGATAGAATTCTGGACTCAGAGACTCCAGCTTCAAATCCTATCCCAGATAACTACTAGTTATAATGATCCTCCCAGGGTCTCAATTTCCCATCTATAAAACAGAGATAATGATAGCATCTACCTCACAGGGTTATTATGAAGAACAGATGAGATCATGTAGATAAGGCAGGATGAAAATTGAAAATCTTAAATCACTATGTAAATGTGTTTTGAATGAGCTTATGGTCACAGGATGATAGATCTGAAGTTGGAAGGAATCAGACTTGCCCAAGGTCACAAAGACAATCAGCATCAATAGCAAGGTTTGAACCTAGATTCTCTGAATCTAGAAAAAGCACTCTTTCCATTATATGATATTATTATTACTATTGTTATTGTTATATATAATTTGATTTTTAGCATTTTTTAATCTGCCTTTAAAAAGGATTCTTGCCAATATTAATATTTTATATTTGCATAGCATTTTACAGTTTTCAAAGTTCTTTTAATCTCAACAACTCTATGAGATCAACCAGACCAATGTTCTTCTTCCTCTTTTCCAAATGAAAAAAACTGAAGTTTAGAAATGTTAGGAGGTTTGCTGCCTGGTTAGTGGCAGAATTAGGACTAGCTCTCTGGTCCTCCAGTTCCTGGTCCAGACGTCTTGCCACTGTACCATGTTGCCAGTCTACCATAATAAAATTTATAACATCAAAACTTCTGGAAATTATTCAAGATATTACCAAGAGAAATGCATATTAATTATAATTAAGAAAACAGCATCACCAGACAAATCTCAAACCTGCTATATTTTATGTTTAGGTGAACCAAGTCCTCCATCAATCCATGGACAGCCTAGCAATGGAAAGAGTTTTAAACTTAACATAATGAAACAAGATGACGGAGGGGCACCCATTTTGGAATATATTGTGAAATATAGAAGTGTAAGTACTCAATTCATTATATTCAGCATCTGTTTTTAAATCTTATTGAGATTTGTTAAGGCAACACACGTTTGAATTTTAACATAGAGCAGGTTCAGAAACAAAAAAATTATATGAATCCAAATGTAAATTTTTCTAGCTGAAATTTATTATTCTAGGTTTTTGAAAACTAAGAGTCTTTCTAGACAATGTCTAAACAAGTTATTGAAATAATAATTTAGCTTTGTATTCTGGGCATTTGACAATTTCTATACAAAAAGAAGTAGCAGCAGCGTTGAGAAGTAGATACACAGAGGTAATTCACACATTCTATCAATTAGAGATTCATTTTGGCTTTATAGACTCCTTTTTTAAAATGAAGAAGACCCTTGGAAAGTTTACACCAATGATTTATTCACACCTCATTAGAAGTAACTTTAAGCAAATAATTTCTGAGCGGATATCTGCCACACTAGAATGGATGTTTGATGGAGTTTGGAGGGCAGGAAAAGGAAGGGTAAGTTTGGAACCAGAGAAATATAGTAATGGGGTTTTGATAAGCAGAGGGCAAGATGAAGGCACTGGATGTCTCAGGAGCAATGGAGATACTTAAAGGAGAATTAGAAATTAAAATAATTGTCAGATTTTACATGTAAAGTGAATACACTTAAACCCCAAAAGGCACCGGTTACAGTTAGCTTGAATGCTTAATGTACTTCATGTTAGCTCCCAAGGGCAAATGGGAATACTTTTAAACTTTAGTTTGTTTATCCAAAGTTAACTGAAAAGATGTAAGGCTGATATACACTAAATGAGTCAGTTTATCCATTGAGTTTCCATATATTCCATACTCAGTCAGACAATTCACCATATAAATAATTTTTATGCTTTTGTTTGTGAGTATGTGTTAATATTGGGGGAGGGGCTTAGCTCCTCTGTATAAATGTCCTAATTATCTCTAGTCTTATAGTGGAATTTACATTCACTTTCCTGTAAGTTCTTTCATGGAACTGATGATGTTTTTTGACCTAAGCAAGGCAAAAAATCCAGAGGATCTGGCAAATTCACACAATGCTTCCCATAGACATAGATACTTCCCTAGGTACCAAGTTAACTATTTAACAAACCAGATTATACCCGTTTAAATACGTTAGACAGTTTTTAGTCAGAAGGGCACTCTGCCTTTAAGACAAATCTCTAATAAGTAATATAGCTCAGAGTTGTAAAAAAATCACAGCATACAAATCAAAAAAGGAGTTAACCTAATAATACAAACGCATCACACTCTAGGTATCTTCCTTCAAATCAATAGTACTTTTATACAACAATTTCCTAAAGCCACAAAGCAAGAAACTGTAAGTATAACATAAAACAATATAATGAAATTAAAACATGAGACACAAATCAGAACCTGTTGCTAGATAGATGATACTAAACCAGTCAAATGCACCTTTAAATCAGCTATTTGGAAAAACCACTCCATCCATCGATCAGTTGGGGTAATTTATACTAGTTGCATTCAAAAATCAGTGGAGAGCAGTTATCCCTTTTGCTTTCATAGCTACAAAGGTATAGTACCAACAGTTGCCATTCAGCGTATAGTTCAACTATGCTTGAATAATAATTTCTCCAGTTAACTTATGAAACCCAATAAAAATCCAAATTTCAAATCACTTAGTTTTAAATCTTGCTAGATGATTCCAGTTACTTTTTTCCACATCCACAAGAATTTTTAAAAATTTGTGAAATCTAGCTTTAAAAGCATGAGAAATCTCAAAACTAACTCCAACTTCATGAAGAAGTAGTTATCCAAGTGTAGTTCACAGCTTTACAAGCCTTCTAGTCTTTCTAGGCAGCTAGGTGTTGCAGTGGATAGAGTGCTAGGCCTGAAGTCAGGAAGACTTATCTTCCTAAGTTCAAGTCTGGCCTCAGTCACTAGCTGTGTGACCCTGGCCAAGTCACTTAACCCTGTTTGCCTCAGTTTCCTCATATGTAAAATGAACTAGAGAAGGAATGGCAAATCACTCCAGTATCTTTGCCAAGAAAATAACAAATGGGGTCACAAAGAGTCGGACCACAACTGAAAAACAACTGAACAAAAACAACAGTAATCTTTTTATCCTCTTCTTGTCTCAACGAGTTATAAAACTTCCTTCAGTACTGGGTTTTTCTTTCTGGTTCATCCTGGAAATTCTGATAGCTGGGAAAGATGAGGACCTTGTATTGTCCCTATTTGGGTGAAAATTCACTAGTTCGGTATTCCTTCTGTTCGACAATCTAAATCTGAGGTACATGTAAAGCTGTCTACTTTTAAGAATGCCTTTATGAACTTCTCAGTGCCTTTTAATTGATTTTCAAGTCTGTACTGTTTCAGTATAATTTATCTTTACTTCATTTTTTTAATTCTCTCTCTTTTCCTTTACCAACTCCAATTAATCCACACTGAGCCTGGAAAATCACAGAATTGGACTTTTCTTTACTGAATCAATATCATTTCTTTATCATGATTCAGTATTGTGCTTTATTTCCCTGACCAGAATTGAGTCTGCAAGGTTTATAGTTTCCCATTTTGCCAAGTAAACCACTTCCAAAAACAGGAAAAGAGTTCTGTGGTTGTATTTGAGAGAAGAAATTTGAGAGAAATTAAGGAGAATTTGAGGCAGAACAATCTTCAACTTTGTACTGGTAAATCCTAACATGCCTGCCCGCTATATCTCTTTTCCCTTTCCCAGATAAACTTCTTAAAAAAGTAATCTACAATTGGTATCTCTGCTTCCTCTTTCTCATTCTTCTAAACTTTCTATACTCTGGCTTCCAACCTCATCATTCAACTGAAACTGCTCTCAAAAGTTGTCAATGATCTTATTTTTTAACTAAAAATGTATTTTTATAAACATTATTACTTTGATCTACTTGTCCTCCCCCCTTTAAAAAATAAAACCCTCGTAACAAACAGGTATAGTTTAGAGACACAAATTCCCACGCTAGCCAAGTACAAAAATGTACATCACAACCTGCATTTTAAGACTTCTCACCTCTCTAATAGGAGGTGGATAGTATGTTTCCTCTTCAGGCCTCTGGACTCAATTTCACCTTTTATGTCTAAGTCATGTGTGCATTTAGAGTTTATCATAGTATATGTGAGATGTTGGTCTATATTTAATTTTTGCCTAATGATTTTCCTAGCAGGTTTTTTTATTTGTTTTTTTGATTGGTTGGTTTGGGTTTTTTTTTTCCATTTTGTTTTGGCTAGGCAGTGGAGTTAAATGACTTGCTCAGGGTCACACAGCTAATAAGTGTTATGTGTCTGAGTCCAGATTCGAACTCAGGTTTTCCTGAATCCAGGGCCTGTGCTCTATACACTATGCCACTTGCTGCCCCATCCTAGCAGTTTTTGTCTGTTAGTCCTTACTCCAGTAACTGGGGTCTTTGGGTTTTTCAAATAACAAGATACAATGTTCATTTGCCCTTGTATGTTGTGTACCTATTCTGTTCCACCAATCAGCTTCTCTATTTTGGATCCATTTTAATCATTTCACTAATTACTGTTTTATAGTATAGTTTGAGATCTGATACTAATAGAGTCCTTTACTGCCTATTTATTTGTTACACTTGAGATTTATAACCTTCCATATGATTTTCATTTTTTGAGGATCTTTAAAATATACCTTTGGTCATTTAATTGGGGTGGCACTGAATTTAGGTAGTAATCTCATTATTTATTTTATTGCTTTGGACTAACCATGAGCAATGATATTTCTACAATTACTTAGGTCTGTAAAGTATATTTTATAATTGGGTCCATATGCTTCCTGTGTACATAGGTAGATACACTCCCAAATTTTTTTTATCTTCTATTGTTATTTTTAATGGATTTTCTCGTTCTAGATCTTCCTGCTGGGTTTTGTTGTTATCAACAGGAATGCTGATGACTTATGTAGGTTTATTTTATATTTTTACGCTTTGCTGAAGTTTTTAATTGTTTCAGTTAATTTTTGATTGAACCTTTTAGAGTTTGCTAAATGAATCACCATATCATCTGCAAAAAGTAATAATTTTATTTTTTCTTTGCCTTATTTCTTCAGTTTCTCTTTCTGGTCTTATTCCTATAGCTACTATTTCTAGCATATTAAATAATAGATGTGTTAATGGGTATCTTTGCTTTATGTTTGATCTTGTTGGAAAAATCTATAACCATTGTCCATCACATATACTGTTTAGTCTTAGATAAATATAATTTCCTATATTAAGGAAAGATCCTTTTATAACTCAGTTTTGTAGGTTACTTAATAAAACAGGTGCCAGAATTTGTCAAAAGTCTTTGCCATATCAACTAATGTAATCACGATATTTATTATTTATATTTTAACATATTTAATTATATTTATAATATGCATTATGTTGAACCAGCCCTGCATTCTGGGTATAAATCTAACCTGGTAAGAGAGTATAATCTTTCCAATGTGTTCTAGTCTACTTGATAATTTTTTTTGGGGGGGGGCGATATTGATGGATAGTTTTTGTTCTGTGCTTCGTCTCTGCTTAGTTTAGTGTCAAGACCAAATTTGTATCAGAGAAAGAGATTGTATGGATGTCTTCTTTTTCTGTTATTGAATGCAGTAATACACCTTTTATAATATTGTAATTAATTTGTTCTTCAAATGATGGAATTCATTTGTAAGTCCTTCTAGTCCTGGAGTTTCATTCTTTAGGAGTTTATAGCTTATTTGACTTCTTTTCCTGATATTTGGTTATTTAGTCTATTTCTTCTTTTGTTAATTTAATTATTTAATATTTCTGTAAGTATTCATATATTTCTTCTAAGTTATCAGTTTTGTTAGCATGTAGTTAGGCAAGATACTTCTGACACTTTACTTCCTCTTCATGACCATGAATTCTTTTTCTGTTTTTGATGTGAACAGTTTTTTTTAAAATTAAATTAGTTAACTTCATTTAATTCATTTTTTTAAAACACTTCCCAGTTTTATTTTAGCACCTACCTCCTTGGGTTGTTGCGAGAA